GGCTTGGCTTTCAGACCTGGTTCAAAGCAAAACTTTCTATCCATGCAGTTTTGATTTGGAGAATTGGTTTAAGCCCCCTGAGCTTGTTTTCTCTTCTATAAAAATGAAGTTAGAGGTTGGACCCATGGGGTTCTGCTACCACAGCAGGTGTCCTACTCAGTGCCCCCTTTGTGCCCTCCCACACTGGGCGGTGATGGGGCCCTGAGAGGCTTTGGTCTGAGCCGGGACTCTGAGGAGCCCCAGTCTTAGGTGGGGGCAGAGACAGACACCCCCTCCTATGCGGTCAGGGTTGGAGGAGTAGAGGGAGTCTGGGAAGGCTTCCTGGAGGAGGGAATGTTGGAGATGAGTGCAGAGGTTCAGATGTGGGGTCCAACAGTGTGGCAAATGGCAATAGGGAGCTGGATTTTCCCTTTGAAGCCTCCAGGAGAGCCATGAAAGGTGCAGGAGCAGGAAAGCGAGCAGTGCAGCCAGTTAAAGGGATCCTGGGAGGCAGAGGGAGGGCTCACTTGGGGGCGTCTCAGAGAGGTGAATCCTGACTTCAGGCTGTGCCTAGAGATGAGGAATGGCCTCCCCTAGCCGATCAAGGGAAGAGGCTGCCACATCTGAGTCACCCAGTTCCTGCAAGAACATTCAGCACCCGTCAGCCCCGCGTAGGCTGTCACCAAGCAGGAACACGGCCCCCGGAGCCCCGCCTTTCCGCCTTCCCTGAGGCTTCCCGCTCTCTGTTCCCACAGCTGTTCCTTCAAGACCACAGAAGGAGAGTAGGTGGAGAGGGCAGGCAAAGGAGAGGCCATGTAGACTGCTCAGCCAGAATTTGGGAGTTTAAGGGGGAGAAGAGCTTCCCCAGCTGAGGGGCCAGTTTGTGCGCTGGGGCTGTTCAAGCCTCAGGACTCTACCCAAGAAGGGGAAACTGAGGCTCAGAGAAAAGGAGGTTCTGCCCGCGTTTTGCACATGTACAGACACCTGGTTCTCTCCTAAGAGCTAAAAACCAGCCTGGAGCCTGCAGTGTAAGTAACCTCCCTCTCTGGCTCCAAACTCTCACATGGCTCCCCAGTACCCTTGGAATAAAACCTGCACACATTATCATAGCCCATGAGGCCCCACCTGGCCCGTGACCCCCTCAGCCTTCAGAATCCCCTGCTCTCCTTTCACTTTGGCCACCTGGCCTCTTCTAATGCATCCAGCCCATTTCCACCCTAGGGCCTTTGTACATGCTTTACCTTCTGCCCAGAGCACACTTTGTGAGTTATTATCCCCATTTGATCCCTCAGGAAAGAAGCAAAGAGAGGTGGTCATGTGCTCAGAAACACACAGCAAGTCGGTGGTGGTTGGTGTTCCCAACCGGGCCCATCTGAACAGCCCTCCACCGCAAACCCTCTCCCAACAATGGTGCCACGTTTAAAACAGGCCTCCAGACCAGTCCACCTTAGAGCTGATTCTCAGCCCCTCCAGGTCTTGCCACCTCCAGCTATGTGTCAAAGACCCTCAGGCCTCAGGCCAAAACCTCTGCTCAGGGAGCTCCTGTGCCAATCCGACTCCCACATCTCCCAGTGTCCCTCCTGACGTGGCCGCAATTTCTCCGCCCCACTTTCTGCCCTTCATGCTGGCGGATGGCGCAGCCTTCAAGGACAGCACAGCCAAAAATAATCGGTTCCGACCTACCTCCCAAAAGTGGAGCAGCCCCCGCCCAGCCACCTGGCACCAGGGAGGTAATTAGCGCACATGGCAATGAGAATAATTAGGTCTGTGGGATCCAGACCACAGATCTAGGTTTGGAGTTGGAAGGGGACACAAGTGCTGCCCCCTCCCACCCTCCACCTGCCCTGGTCCTGGGAGCTCAAGTTCATAACCCAGTGCTGGACCCCCTTCCGTTACTTCCTGTTTAATGAATTAACATTGGCCTTGGGCAGAAGTTGAGTTGAATATAAATTTAAGGCAGGGCTATACTTTCACCAATATTGAGTTATCACATTCTCCTCTGCCATAACCCCCATGCATCCTCCCAATGCCAGGAGATGCCAAGCCAAAGGGAAGCCTCAGCCCAGCTCTTGAGGTGCTCTCAGGGTAGGGGGGTCAGAGTAAGACACAGACACCCGCAACCCCTTGGGGTCAGAGTTAGGCCAGAAGGAGGGAGGGTGTTGGGCAGGATCTAGAGGAAGAGGAGGAAGGGTTTCTCACAGAAAAGAATGTTGGAGGTGGGGCTTTGAGGGATGAATAGGAGTTTTCCCAGAGGATAAGTTCTGGTAGCTGGCCCAACTGGCCATGGCTGGGGGAATGGGGAGAAAGAAGAGGAGGATGGCTGGAGGGGCACAGAGCTAAATATTTAGGGAATATCACACCAGGTTGGACAAATTTTGTCCCCAAGAGCTCACGCCTGGTTGGAATCCTTCAACCTCTGAAAGAAAAATCTTAAGAACTATGCTCAGGATCAAAACCACATGCCCAGACAGACAAGAATAAATATGTTTATAACACTGCACATTAATTAAGCTCCAAGTGTCATGCCTTCTTCATACAAGGACTTGTTGGGTTCTTACAGGAAACCTCAGAAGTGGGCACCATCCTTATGCACATTTTGTAGGTGGGGAAACTAAGGCACAGAGAGGGAAACTGGCTTCTTTAAAGTCACACTCCTGGTAAGAGGCAGGGCTGGGAGTCACTTCCTGGCTCATATGACTCTGGAGACCACCAAAGACCAATGCTGGGATCTAGCGATCTCTTCCTTCTGGAAGCATTTACAGAGTTCCTGCTGCATGCAGGTCAGTCTTACTGTAGGTGCTGGGACAGAGCTGTGAAAGAGGTGGACAGTAACCAAATCATGCCACAACAGATATAGGTGACCACTGTGACCCATGTCACATAGTTGGCCTGTCCTTTTGTATCCCCTCTTCTGGTGGGACGGGAACCCTCCAGGGAGGAGAGAAGATTTAGCTTTAGTACAATGGTTGGGCCAATTTAAACAGGCAGAGGCCATAAGTGCCACTCTGCAAAGTGCTTCCCTAGAGCCAAACAAGTCATTCTAGTCCCTGTTTGGTGCCTCCTATGACAGGTCGCTCATTCTTTCATGCCCTTCCTCAGCCCCAAGGGAAAGCTGTTACTTCTAGTCAGCCAACCTGGGGTGGTGCCTCTGCCCACCCTGCAAGGATAGGCCTAAGGAGAAGTGGGCTCAGGCTGGGGTAGAGGTGGCAGCTCAGGGAAGGCCCCTACCCACCTATACCCAAGAGAGAGTGAGGGGCTGTTGCTGTCACCTAGATCCTCCCTGCCTCCTCCCCAACCCCAGCCCTGTGCACATAAGCACATTCCCCGGGTGAGAAAACAGGTCTGCACTGACAAAGCGATTCCCTCAGTTTGGACTTGACTAAGACAACTTCAGGTCAGGGTTGCTCAAGGCCAGCAGCATCCCAGCCCCTTCTAGAGCCTGAGAGGGGGTCCAGGAAAGGACTAAACTCCCCACTCTCTCTCATTCTGTTGCCTTCTGCCCACACAAGGAAGGAAAGCTTCCTTGGCCCCTTGCCTGCCTCCCCCTTGAATGGCCATGTGGCCCCAGTTCTATAGCCGGCTGGCACTCAGCACACCCTGAGCAGCTTCCAGGAGCCTTGGCCCTGCAGGCACCTTTCCAGTTACTTTATTATTTCTTTGGTAATAAGGAAAAGTCACTTTTGCACAGAACAGACGGTATTCTCTTTGTTCCCCACAGTGTTCAAGCATTTTGTGGCTTCAGGCCTGATAGTGAAGCCAAATCTTTTGCTTGTGCAGATGCCTTGTGAAGTTAGAAGCAGCCTGGGAAACTGAGTCTGCGCCTCTTTCCCCAGTAAGGCTGGCCCTCCAGGAGCTCCCAGACTGGGCTGCACTGAGCTAACAGGTAACACACATCAGGTATCCCACAGAAAGGGAAAGGAGAGTGGCGCAGGGCAGGGTGAGATCCCTTCCAAGCTCAGGATGGTCAGAGAAGCTTCCAGGAGGAGAGAGGCAGTGGAGCTGAGCCTTGAAGGACCAGGCAGAATATATGCCTGCCAGAAGGCTATTCCAGGTGGAGGGAACAGCTTGGGCAAAGGCCTGGAGAGAGGAAACTCAGATCTTGGTCTGGGAATAAGTCTGCAGAATTCATCTAAAGGTAATTTGAAAGTAGCTACCAGTTCAGATGTGTGATTCTGTTCAGGGAAACAGAAATAAAAGAAGAGGGAAAGGAGATGTGACACAGATCAAAAGCAAAACTTCTCAGGTTGTCAGAAAGCTCACCTGTGAGGCTCAGAGCTTCAGGGAACTGTGGGCTTTGGGTCTGAGGAGCCTCCTGGCCTCTGCCCACTGCCACTTGGCACTGTGTGACTTGGAGGCAAACTCAGGCCTGGGGAGGTGATCACAGCTCAGCCCCATAAGGACCTGCCTCTGGCAAGTGTATGAAGGGTGGGCTCCCTCTGACCAGAAGTGGCAATCCAGGCTTGTGGACCTCCAGGAGACTCACCATTCGGTGGGACCTGGACATGGGCAATCCCTAGGCCCTGGATTCAGGGATCCTATGCCACACCAGTGATCATCACCCAACCGTTGTTGGCATTGTCACAGTTGTCTTGTTACATTGTAGTTCTCCGCCTCTCTGTCTCCTGTGTCTCTGCCTCCCCTACACCCCTCTCTGTCTCTGGGTCCCCCACCCCAGTCCTCTTCCCCGCCCTTACCCACCCCCCAGCCCTCTCCCCATTCCTATGGGCTCCCCCATCACCGCGGAGGGCCGGTAGAGGGCGCTGCGTGAGGCCTCGGGGCCCGGGGAGGCGGGGCGGGCGGCGGCCGCGTCGGGACCGACCGCGATGGGACCGGAGGCGGCGCGGGCGGCGGCGGCGGCGCAGACAAAGACGCGGGCGGCACGGAGGGCGGCGCGGAGGGCGCGAGCCCCGGAGCCATCGAGCAAGCCGGGCGCCCGGTGCGGGGAGTCGGCGCCGCGGGCCGCACCCGACTCCGCCTGGACATTCACGGGGCGCCCAGCAGGCAGGGTGAGCCCGGCCGGCCGAGCTTGCGTCGGGGCGCGCGGGCCCCGAAATTCCAGGGCCGGGGGAGGGCGCCGATGTCCCCAAAGTCCCGGACACGGGGATGGGGGGCCGGAGGAGCCATGAAGTTCCAGGTCTTGCTGGGGCGCAGCGGCCCCTAAGTTCTGGAGCTTGGGTCGGCGAGGGGACAGTGCGAAGGGTTCCCAAAGTTCCGCGTCCGGCGTCGCAGGAGGCTGCGAAGGTATCTCCGAAGTTCCAGACCTGGGGTGGTGGTCGGCGCGAAGGGACCCCGAATTCTAGACCTGGAAATAGAAGTTTGGCAGGGGATCCCCAAAGTTCAGGAATTGGGGGCGGTGCGGAGGATCCCCGAAGTTCTGGACCTTGGGGTGGAGGAGGCAGATAATGTGTCCCCGAAGTTCTGTACTTGGGAGTCGGGGGTGTCTCGGGGATCTCGGAAGTTCCAAGGTCGGAGGCCTCACTAACCGAAGTTGAGGGGCGCCCCGGGCGCCCCGATCCTGACGCGGATGGGGACTCAATCCTGACTATTGGGCCCCGGGACTGGGACGCATGGGGTGAGGCTTCGCCCCTACAGGCAATTGGGGATCCCGGGCACCCGGCAGGGTTGGGCCCCCTCCGGAAGCCCCACGGCCCGCGGCATCCGAGGCGCATGACTAGTTGGTGAGTAACTTTCCCCAAACGCGCAAGTCGCTGCAGGAGAGTCCTGGACAAGGGCGTGAATTCTGGGACCCCTGTGCCGCGGAGCCCCTGCCAGACTCAGCATCCGCCCCCAACTCCGGCCAGAGTTGCCGCCCCTCCCCCACCAGGGGCTCTGGTTTCAGACCCTGTGACCAGGACAGCAGCTGCCCAGGACAGGGTGGGGGGGCGTCCCCTTCTGACCACAGAGGCCACTTGGCCGTGCGTTCCTTCCCCTAATTTGCCTCCCCCTCCCCCAGGTACCTCCTGGGTTCCCCGCAGATACCCTGTATGCAAGTTTGAGGGCGCAGGGGGAGGGTCAGGAAGTCTCCCTGGGCAGCTGTTCCCGGTTTTGGCGGGGGTGGGGTGGCTAGAGGAACCAACAGAGACTGGGTAGACCAATTCCCGATCCTAGGTCCCGCCCAGCCCCCATGGTATTGGGAGTGAGTGGTGATGGGTGATCTGGCAGTGGGCACCAGGGTGCTCCTGTTTGGCTACATCTTGTCTTTTTAACTAGGATGGGGTTCCCTGAGGATTTGGACTTTGATTCTAGTCTGTGCCTGTGACCTAGAGTGGAAGTGGAACCGTCCCTCTGTGGGGCTTGTGGGAACTGGTTTCTCAGTAGGCACCTGGTGATGCCTCACTTTTTGCTGGAGGCCCTGGTTTGGGGAGTGATGGGTGAATGTGTGGGAAAGTACTGAGCGGGAGCTGGCCTTGGCCTCCTTGGCCCACCCCGAGATTGGGATCCAGTAACCAGGACGATGAGAGATTTATGCTGAGATGTCAGGGGTTACCTGGCTCCTCTCAGACAGCCATCTCCCGCCCAGTGTGTTGTGGGGACTTCTCTGGATGGAGAAAGTCAGGGTCTTCTTGCTCTGAGTGACCTCTGATTCCCTCACCTTTTTGATCGAAGTTCTATGAATGGTGCACCTGGTGTTGGGTCCTGAGGTTGGACCTGCTTGGTCTCACTCAGCCTGTCCTGGAGGGACATTAACAAGCCCCCTCTGCCCCCAGAGGCCGAACCAGCAGCTCCTGCCACCCCTCTGGCAGCCCCTTGGAGCTCACCCAGCCCAGCTTGACCAATGTCCACAGCCAGGTGAGCCCCTGTCTCTACTAGCTTAGCGCTGAGCCTCCTGGCGGTGGGGCGGGGGTTGCCTGGCCCCTACTGAGAGCCCTCTCCCCACGTAGGGAGCAGCCCATCTTCAGCACACGGGCACACGTGTTCCAGATCGACCCGGCCACCAAGCGGAACTGGATCCCTGCTGGCAAGCACGCGCTCACTGTCTCCTACTTCTATGATGCCACCCGCAATGTCTACCGAATCATCAGCATCGGGGGTGCCAAGGTCCTGGCGGGGCCTGGGTGGGGCAGCAGGAGACAGGGGTCCCAGCAACAGGTCTGGGTCTGGTTGTTGCCTTGCTGTGTGCCTAGGGGCGGAGGGAGGAGGGGGCCCTGACCCTTTCTGAGCCTCTGTCTCAGCTCAGACCAGAACCTCTGAGGCACTAATATAAAGTGATACTCTGGGGTCTTATGTTCATTATTAGCAGTCCCATCATCCTTGAACTTTGCTCCCCTCTCCCCAGGCCATTATCAACAGCACTGTCACTCCCAACATGACCTTTACCAAAACCTCCCAGAAGTTCGGGCAGTGGGCAGATAGTCGCGCCAACACTGTGTATGGCCTTGGCTTTGCTTCTGAGCAGCATCTGACCCAGGTGGGTCTCAGGGGTTTGGGGCGGGAGGGACAGGAGCTGGGGCTGGGTCTTCTCCTAGATGCACTGGGACCCATGGGCAGGTGCTGGGCCTCCACCTTCCCAGCTACAGAATAGGACAAGCCAGAAGCCCCTTCCCGGTTCCCTAGTTTACAGCTCAGCTCTGAGGCCACCTGCAAACAATTTCGGGCACACCCTGCTCCTCTGTGGGTCCCTGGGATGGGCTGGGAACCTCTCCACACAACCTAGCACTACATCATCATTTCCCTCCACCCTCTGCTGTCTCTAGACTTCAGTATTGTTTTATCCATTGTTTTCCTGGATAGTTAGTGCCCTCTGAGTCCTGCTGAGGGCATGACAATTTTCTTTTCTTCTAGAAGCTTTTGTTTTCCTTTTACATGTAGGTCGTGAATTTATTTCTGTGGGTGGTATAATGTAGGAGTATTTTTTCCCACATGAGTATGCTGTTGCTCTTGGGCCATTTTTAAAAAGCCCATTTGCCCAGTGAATTGCACTGCCCCTTTGCACAAATCAAATGGCTGTGTGTCTGTAAATATTTTTTAAAAAAACTATTTTCAAACTAAGGAAATTTATTTTAAAATAAAAAAATAAAAAAGCATATCCTACCCTACCTGGAAAGCTGGTATGGGCAGCAAATGTAAACATTAATACAACAAAAATGAGAATAGGGCAATTGCTTTCTCACTGCCTAGGGCTCTGAGCACAAGACCTGTTTTCTCTTTGTCATACAAAGATATTTACATGTATCCCAGGCATTAAAGACAGACTAGCACCCACCTGAGGCTCACTTTGCTGAAATAAGGCTGATTGAGAGGGAAATGGGGATCCCTTTTTCAGAGTGGCTCAATGTAAGCCTCCTCCATGAACATCCCCCCCAAAAAACTGACTCTACTCATTGGGGCATCATTTTCCAAGCCTTCTTCCACTCTTCCAGTTCCTGAGATGAGAGGATACACACCCTTCCTAAAAAAGCCCTTCCTAAGTGACAGGGCTGGCACTGGGTGGGGGTGACATGGTGGGTCCCTGGGTGAAGGAGCCAGGGGTTTGTTGACTATCTGTTCCTGTCCCCCACCCCAGTTTGCTGAGAAGTTCCAGGAGGTGAAGGAAGCAGCAAGACTGGCAAGGGAGAAATCTCAGGATGGGGGGGAGCTCACCAGTCCAGCCCTGGGGCTCACTGCCCACCAGGTCAGCCCTCCCTGTCCCATGCCTGTCCGGCACTCAACCGATATTGGGGGGTTCATGTGCTGTGCTGGTGCTCAGGACCAAATGCTCACAGATCCATGGCAAAGACCATGGAGAAGGGGAGGGGTGTAGGTGCCATGGAGCGTGTGTGTGTGTGTGTGTGTGTGTGTGTGTGTGTGTGTGTGT